GCCTGCCTTCTCTCCTTTATGAGCCTTGTTTTGTTTTTAGGAACGACATCCATGGTTCCCAGGTGATCAAGTATTGGTTTGAGTTACCCATTGTGGACATTCTCAGTTTTTACATCTTATGGATGTTGTCTATTTTCATGTATCGTTCCCTTCTAGAGGGTCTTTTGTGTGTCTTCCAAAGTCCCACTATTACTGATTTCGCTGCTGTTAATACGTAATATAGGAGTGAGCGTTTGAAATTGTTCAAAGACATAGGAATGTTAAAAAACAGGAGCGTTTCAGGAGTAAAGGTTAGGGGGACATAACTGAGTTGTTCTGTGATCCTCGTAACTTCCCTCCAGAAACCCTCAATTCGCTTACAGGTCCACCATATGTGCTGGTAGGTACCCTGTTCCTTCTTGCACCTCCAACACAGCGGGGAGTTGATGATGTTAAATTGATGAGCGTTTATGGGGACAATATACCATTGCGTGAGAAATTTATAATTAATTTCCTGCAACATAATGCTATAGTGTGATTTCATCATTTTGGTGAAAATTGTGAGCCAGGTCTGCTCTTCTGTCTGAGTCAAGAACCATTTCTGGTTCTTTATCGTATACCAGGGAAGTTGGTTGTGTGAGCTTTCTTGTATCATGTGGTAACATTTGGCTATGATTTTATTTGTAGGCGGGCGGGAGCATTGTTTCTCAAACTGTGTTTCTTCCCTTGGCTTCCAGTGTAGTAACCCTTCCTTATTTAAGAAATGTTTAAGTTGGTGGTATTGGAGAGTGGGAGCTTCTTATCCTGTGTTTTAGGTTCCTCGTTCCTCATTTTCTGAAGTCCTCATCAGTCAAGGAAAACAGCAGGTTCCTATGATTTTATCCCTACTCATTCTGTTGCTAATTAAAATTAATGAAACTGCAATAATTCAGCTGTCCACAACTTTGAGGATTACCTCTGGTGGTGGGAAGGTACATTGCAACTGTGTCCTGTATCACGGGTGTCAGTACGGGCTTGATATGCAGACCTCCCAGGAACTGGGTAAGGGGGCTCTGCAGCAGACATGTATCCAGTACAGAAACAAGGCAAGGCTAGAACAGGCACCAAACATAAAAACAAGAGAGAACTAGTAGAACCCAGAACCAGAGAAGGATAGGTAGCTAAACCCAGAACATGTACACAATACACAAATGAACCATTGACTAAACAGGGGCAGGACAGGTCTGTACATGGACTGGGAATACAAACTAAAACAAGACAAGATATGATAGGCAAAACAAGAGAAGACATAACTAAGCACTATATATGAAAGTATGGGGATTTAGTTACATTATATGATCATACATTGCATAAGCCTGCCACAACGCCAATGTACCCCATATTTGGCAGGACCTACACTGCCTAATGTTCGCTAAAAGAACTAAACCACAATAGCACTTACCTGCAAGAAAAGGCAGAGACTTGAAACACTGTTGCAGGTCCAGACTGAAACAAAAGGAAAATGGAAAACAAACGGGTGTGGCAACATAAAACAAACATTTAAAGGAAACCTGGACACTGGGAATTCTGGGGACGGAATACAGGAATGAACCCAGGAAAACCCAGCAAAAAGAAAACCAGACAGAGTAGAAAACCAAAAAACCAAGAAAAACTAAACAAGAATTGTAAAAAGAGTACTGGATGCCAGAAACCAAAGCCAGACATCTCCGCAGAACTTGGCATGATGTGACATAACTCCCCTCTTAAGGAGCGACCTCCGGGTGCGACAAGCAGCTCTCAGGCTGAGACCAGGAAAGAAGAGACACAGCAACTAAGTCCTCAAGACTTACCGGAGGCAAGGATTCCCCGACACAGCAGGAAAGTAGTTTGCGGCTCACAATGCCATTATGAACTACTTTACTTCCTTTGGAAAGGTCTCCTGCAAAGTAACCACCAGCCAGGACCGAGATCCACTCCAGAATTGGAGCACTGCCACGAAACAGGAACCAAGCATCACAAGAGAACACCTGAAGTGACCTCCCAGGAACTGTATAGGGGGGCTCTGCAGTAGACATGTATCCAGTACATAAACAAGGCAAGGCTAGAACAGGCACCAACCATGAAAACAAGACAGAACTAGTAGAACCCAGAACCAGAGAAGGATAGGTAGCTAAACCCAGAACATGTACACAATACATAAGGGAACCATTAACTAAACAGGGGCAGGACAGGACTGTACATGGACTGGGAATACAAACTAAAACAATACAAGATATGATAGGCAAAACAAGAGGAGACATAGAAACATAGAAACATAGAATGTGACGGCAGATAAGAACCATTCGGCCCATCTAGTCTGCCCAATTTTCTAAAAACTTTCATTAGTCCCTAGCCTTATCTTATAGTTAGGATAGCCTTATGCCTATCTCATGCATGCTTAAACTCCTTTACTGTGTTAACCTCTACCACTTCAGCTGGAAGGCTATTCCATGCATCCACTACCCTCTCAGTAAAGTAATACTTCCTGATATTATTTTTAAACCTTTGTCCCTCTAATTTAAGACTATGTCCTCTTGTTGTGGTAGTTTTTCTTCTTTTAAATATAGTCTCCTCCTTTACTGTGTTGATTCCCTTTATATATTTAAATGTTTCTATCATATCCCCCCTGTCTCGTCTTTCCTCCAAGCTATACATGTTAAGATCCTTTAACCTTTCCTGGTAAGTTTTATCCCGCAATCCATGAACCAGTTTAGTAGCCCTTCTCTGAACCCTCTCTAAGGTATCAATATCCTTCTGAAGATACGGTCTCCAGTACTGTGTACAATACTCCAAGTGAGGTCTCACCAGTGTTCTGTACAATGGCATGAGCACTTCCCTCTTTCTACTGCTAATGCCTCTCCCTATACAACCAAGCATTCTGCTAGCATTTCCTGCTGCTCTATTACATTGTCTGCCTACCTTTAAGTCATCAGAAATAATCACCCCTAAATCCCTTTCCTCAGATGTTGAGGTTAGGACTCTATCAAATATTCTGTACTCTGCCCTTGGGTTTTTACGTCCAAGATGCATTATCTTGCACTTATCCACATTAAATGTCAGTTGCCACAATTCTGACCATTTTTCTAGTTTACCTAAATCATTTGTCATTTGGCTCCTGGAACATCAACCCTGTTACATATCTTAGTATCATCAGCAAAAAGACATACCTTACCATCAAGACCTTCTGCAATATCACTAATAAAAATATTAAAGAGAATGGGTCCAAGTACAGATCCCTGAGGTACCCCACTGGTGACAAGTCCAAGCTTCAAATATATTCCATTAACTACAACCCTCTGTTGCCTGTCACTCAGCCACTGCCTTACCCATTCAACAATATTTGAATCCAAACTTAAAGATTGCAGTTTATTGATAAGCCTTCTATGTGCAACAGTGTCAAAAGCCTTACTGAAATCTAGGTAAGCAATGTCTACTGCACCACCCTGATCTATAATTGTAGTTACCCAACTGTTGCCTGGATACAATTCTAAAACAATTTCCATATGTCCTTTGCAGACTTTACATGCTGGAAAAACAGAGATGCCAACTGCTGTGGCTTTCTGCAGTGTGCATACCGGCAACGAGGGCAGAGTTGAGGAGTGGGTGGAAGATGATGTGTGCTAATTTGCTAAATAGTACATTTTGGGGCCTGCTCTTCATATCTGAGAGTCAAATTGAATCATCTAATAGTGTGCTTACTGTGCAGTTGTAAACATTTAAATTGTTTTGCTGCTAATCTGCTAAATAGTACATTTTGGGCCTGCGGTGCACTTCATAACTGAAAGTCAAATAGAAGCGTCTAATAGTGTGCTTACAGCGCAGTGGTAAACATTCAAATTGTTTTGCTGCTAATCTGCTGCTTACATTGGAGTTTTAAAAAGTAAATTATTTTGTTTTGGTGCTAAATAGTATTTTTGGGGTGTTCACTTCATATCTGAGAGGGAAATCGAAGCGTAACTTTGATTCAAATTTACTACATCTGTCACTTGTAATATTTTTTCACACCTACAACACATGTTACACAGATCTAAGTGATAGAAAACAAATTGATATTTTCTACACTAGAAAATACCAGATAACAAGCTGCTATATTCAAACCAGTGATAAATAGCTAAGAGGTACTTCAACAATATTGTAATTCTGGGGCAATACCCTCACAATCAAACTGAGAGGTCAGTTTATAGGGAAAACTGTTGCCTGGAGGAAATTCTAAAACAATTTCCATATGTCCTTTGCAGACTTTACATGCTGGTGCCAACTGCTGTGGCTTTCTGCAGTGTGCATACCGGCGAGGAGGGCAGGGTTGAAGAGTGGGTGGAAGTTGATGTGTAGGATGTTGAGGTCCTAGACCCCACATGGAAACAAGGTCATGCGAATGACGTGTGCACTTTGGAGGAAGAGGCGCTGGTCGCACAGAGGCACCAGCACAGCATAAGAGGGAGCAGGGTGCAAAAGCGGAGCAGCCGTCCCCTAGCGCTCGTCGCCATGTATTAGCTTGAGAATTAAAACTTATTCAAGTAATACATGTAGCGATCAAAGGATCCATAATAGACTTGAGCGGACCGGAACTGCAAAGTTCGGGTTCGTACCAGATTTACCGATCCATTCGTAGTTTCACAGTGAGGTGGGCAGTCTGGTGACCAGGACCCAGACACTGTCTGGGCGGCGATCAGACGACCGGGGCCCAGTATGCCTGATGTTAAAGTTAGGAGTCACAGTGTGGAATGGATTAGCGGGTCTGGTGCAGGGTAACAGGCGATGAGCAGCAGGGGTTGTGCGGCCACATACCAGAACCCTGATGCAGCTTCAGTAAAAAGAGTACTTGATACCAGAAGCCATCACCAGACTGATCCGCAACTTGGAACAGGATGTGACATTCACTGTAACGGCTGTGCGCACTTTTGGCATGGTCACCCTGCTGCTGATCGTCTGTTTCCGCTGCAGCGTAACTTTGGCCTTCCTGCTCACCGCCTCATGAGACTGTGCGAGCAGCAGCAGTCGATAGTGGAGTTTCAGCTGCAGCACGCACGGGTCAGTGGCTCTGCACCAGACTTCCCTCCAATTGATCAGAGTTAAAGGATTTCAAGTGGACTCATTACAATTACAGGGCCTCTAAAGAGTCCTGTATTGTTATTTGTCATCACTACCTTCCCGCGTCGGGAGTGGGTAACTTTCGCGCCTGCTGCCTTCCTTGCATGTGGTAGCCATTTCTCAGGGTCCCGGTACGGAATGAAACCCTGGTTCCCCGTTACCCGTGGTCACCATGGTAGGCACAGAAACTGGCATCGAATGTTGATATGGATGACATCCGCATGCAAAGTCGCCACCACGGGGATGTGTGATTTGCCCGAGGTTCTAGAATCAACAAAGTTCCTGCGCAACTATAATGTTAACAGCTACTCTGCGGAACAGAGTTGTCTTTTTTTATATGTCCCAATATTTTGGGGGCTACCCCAATAAAAAAAAAATAATAAAAAAAATATATATATATATATATATATATATATATATACATACAGATATAGGGAACAAGAGGCAAGCACTCACGGTCTTTTAGTTTCTTAAAACGATTTTCCTTTTATTTCACTGGTTAAAACTTGATCGACGTTTCAGCCACACTACATGGCTTTCATCAGGATCTCCACAACTCAAAATATACATTGCAAATAACACATTTATATAGCAAAACAAATTAAACAATTAATAATTAAAACACTCACCACCTGAAGGCTGTATCGCTTCCACGGCGTTCTATTGCCATCTCTGCGCATGCGTCAATCTACCGCTACCCGGAAGTAGCGTGTTGACGTCACCGTTGCCATGGTTACCCGGTATATTTACCTGGCTCCATGGCAACACAGCTAGTAATATACTCGCTCTCTACTGATCGCTCAGCCTTAGGAATCTAACTCCCACAGGAGTCAGACATAGAATTTAAAATAGAACATATATTATAATAATTAGAGGATACTTATTATTCCATTTAATGTTCCTTAACCTAGCTAACATTATTGTCTATATCCATAGAGACTATTTATCTATCTAGTTCTTAAGCATCATTTTATGAAGGTAAAGCTTTTCCACATCTAACTATATAATTCCTATTAAATACAATTTAAGGTAGTAGATACAAATAGTGTACAATAAATTGTGTTTCAATAAATTCAAAGTGCTGATAGTGCTATAAATGTACAATAAAATGCTAACAAGTGCTGATTTTATAAAGTGCAATCTGGTGTAAAGTGATCCTGGTGCTATTTATATATACTAAAGTGCTTCTTACATTTACTTTTAATCTCTCAATCTGTATATTTAAAGTCATACATTACTATTTATATGCATAGAAGTACTGAAAATTGTGTTCCTATCATATATACAAAAACTAGTGAGGTGATTAACATACTACTTGATAGTGTTATTTACATAAATTATTTACATACTTCATTGTTATGAAATATAGTGTATATCTATACCTATACAATTACTTAACCTACCTTACCCTTTAATCATACTACCTTTCCCTCTAAAAATAAATCTATTTGTTAATTAGAATATTTAAATGTTATCATTTATCTTAAATAGGTGGAATAATACTTTTACTTATACTTTTATATTTTTACTTTAATACACTAGTGTTTATTAGCACCAGGCATAAAAGCTATATTGAAGTGTGTGTGCAAGGAGACAATAGGATTTTTATATATCTATATATATATATATATAGATATATAAAAACAACGTTGACTACCTCATCCTCCTCCTCTACCGCCACGGTCACCGCAGGCCACAAATGTTTCTTTTCTTGTTTGTCCCAATATTTTGTGGACTACCACAATTTAAAAAAGCACAAAAAATATAAATTACAGTGTTGGCTACCTCATGATGATCAGCATTATCCATAGAAACATAAAATGTGATGGAAGATAAAAACAGTTTGGCCCATATAGTATACCCAATAATCTAAATACTTTCATTAGTCCCTGGCCTTATCTTAAGTCTAGAATAGCTTTATGCCTATCACACGCATGCTTAAACTCCCTCACTGTGTTAACCTCTACCACTTCAACTGGAAGGCTCTTCCATGCTTCCACTACCCTCTCTGTAAAATAATACTTCCTGAAATCATTTTTTACATTGCCCCACTAACTCAAGACTATGTCCTCTTGTTGTGGTAGTTTTTATTTTATATTTATGCTTTTAGTAAAAAAATAAAACATTTTTTTTTAAATTAAACCAGCATATTTACCAGTTTCTTTAGGTTGGAAATACAATCCCTTGAATGGTGCATGGAAGTAAAAGTGTTTAGAAGAGAAATTTATTAGGGATATAGAATTGTTCTGTTCTGGCTGGCAGTCCCAGACATAGTTAGGATGGAAAATACATAGTTAGGGTGTGTCCAGCGTGTTCCTTTGTCTGGTATGATGATGCGTTGATGATCTCCTGAATCCACAATTTCTGAATCTTGCATCCAACCCTTGAATCTTGCATCTTGAATGCTTTACGTCACCAATTAAAGTGACCAATGGGATTAGGTGGGTGTAACTTATTTTAATGATTATCTTCAAAATATTTAACATGGTAAAGGTACAACAATAATTGCAAGTTATGGCAGAGTAAAATATTTAGTACACGTTGCTTAGTTAGCTCATGTGTTATTACTTTACAGTGTGTGGTCATTGTGCGCGTAGTAGTAATCAGGTAAAGCTGCGTTTTAGATGTAGCTCTGTTTAGTACTTCAATTTTAGGATTTGTGCAATGGAAGGCTTGCACAACCCTGCTTTCGTCCTTCTCCTAAGGAGGCGTAATTTGTACCTCAATTCTGGTTAACCACTAAAATAGAAAGATTTAACAGAAACATAAGGGGTGGGGGATTACAAAGGGGAGGAGGGATTGGTTTCACTCCAGTGACTCACTTGAAACTGTGAACTTATATTGCATCTTACATATTTTTAAGTAACCTAATTAAGGGGACTAAAACGGCTGCCTTGGGACAGATTTCCCTGTGCACCCTCTGTCCAACCCCAGCCCTGGATGGGTAAGTTAAGCATAGCGGTTATAGAAAAACAAAGAGCCTATTAGTAAGCATCTCATGTGCCAGGCATCATACACCCTGGTGCCATCATGGTCAAATTTTAACATAGTACAGGTATATCAAGGGTGCATGATATGATGTAATACAACTTGTAGTTCTCATTGCATGAATCACTTGCATAGAAATACGTTATATTGCATGATCCTTATACATGTTGAAAGTAAATTGGGTGGAGCTATGTTATGGGTTTAGCATCGATTAATGCTTCAACCGAAAAGGTTGTACCATGAGGAGTACCCTTGGTTGCTGACCGCTAATACAGAGAGGGATTGGTAGGAGGGGAAAAAATACAGAAAAAGGATGAGGGAAAGTTAGGGGGAGAGTTGGTTTTACTCCATAGACACATGAAATCATGAGCTAATTTTGCCTCATGCCTAACTTTAGCTAACATGATTAAGATGACTGCCCCAAGTCAGATTCCCCCATTCCACTATCTATCCGTCCTCAGCCCTGGGTTGGCCTGTAGCGAGTACAATGCACCTAGTCATTAATTTACCAACTTGGTCGGTAAACAGTGCCTAGGGAGCTAGTAAATTTGTGCAGTACCCCTCATGTTTCGGTTAAAAGTGGTACGCCCAACTTAGGGTCTCCCAGCTCTCCTGACTGTCTAGTAGGGATTGATCACTTATCTCATCCCAAGCTCTCCACCTTTGTTGGTGATGGGAAGGTTTGCCCTGCAGGGTTAAGGACACATTTTTTCATATGAGCATGTGGAATCCACTCTTTGAATCGTTTCCCTTATTAGTGGGGCTATGGTGCTTTTCCAATGATGAGCAACACAAATTTTTGCTGCTACTAGGAGATTTAAAATAATTGTTCTGTTTGGCACAGTTCTAAGGTTAGGGATCATGTGGAGCAAGTAATATTCGGGCAATCTGGGAAAACTGAATCCAGACATAGTATCTATCAATGCTGTTATTGACTTCCAGAACTGCTTTAACTCTAAGCATTCCCAGAATACATGGCTAAGAGAGCCTATAGCGGTTTGACATCTCCAACATGTAGGATTAACATCCATATAGATTTCTGAGAGTCTGAGGGGCACCAAATACCACCTCATCTGTAATTTTGCATTCACTTCCCACATGGATACGCTTTTGGAGGCTGCCATAGTGCATATAATAGGCATAACAGAAACATGGTGGGATGAGACACATGACTGGGCAGTTAATTTAAATGGGTACACGTTATTTAGGAAGGATAGGAAAAACAAGAAGGGTGGTGGGGTATGTTTATATGTCAACCATGAGTTAAAGTCAAATCTTAGGCATGTGGAGTGTGATGAGGAAAAGGTGGAGGCTTTATGGGTAGATATCTGCTTGGGGCAAACAAAGGGAAATCAATTATTGGTTGGGATATGTTATAAACCACCTAATGTAAATATTATTGAGGAAGAACAGCTGTTAGAGCAAATTGAGAAAGCTGCAAATCGAGGTAGGGATCGAGGAAAAACCCCGACGCGCGTTTCGCCGGTAAGGCGTCGGGGTTTTTCCTCGATCCCTCCTTATACCATCATACTCTGCACTCGCAGTGATTATTCCTTCTCATAGAAATCTATTTTTTCAGTCAATAGTTATTCGGACATTGAGTAGATTGGGAGGGGATCTAATGGTGTAGCCGCTTGCACTATTTGCGGCTCTAACGCTCATAGCAGATTGACAGCTTATAAGACATTACAGGATACAATTATACGATTCTGGAGCTCAATTGCTAGCTAGCTAGCTTTATTATCTATTATATTTTGTAGAGAAGTGCCCTTGTAAGCACAGTTATTTATTACAATAATTTTCGTTCTCTCTTTTTCTTCTAATTGCTTGCAGTTAGTTTCTTTATCTTACAGGTGCCCTCGAAGGCACAGATATATCTCTATCTTCCGACTACATCTATCTTTGGGGTCTATATAGAACAGATTATTTTTAGAAGATAGTTGTATGCATATTATCATATTATATATATTCAATCCTAACTGCAGCTGTGTAGCTAAATTAGACAGCTCTGTCTAAGCTGTCATACCACCAGAGCGTTTTATTTTCATTTATTTTCGTTTATAAATTATAATTTACAGTAGCAGACGTTCCTTTTTTTTTTTTCTTGCAAAGCTTGATTAGGAATACTTTGGACATATTGAAAGTATTCTATACGAATTTTTGTAGCAGATGCTCCTCGTGCCACTTGCAAAGTCTGCTTTCTGTAACAAACATTGCAACAGTATCATTATAGCAGACGCCGTCTTTCTATATTCACAAAGTTTAATCAGTTACACTTTGGACACATTGAACTACAGCAGCAGACGTTTTTCGTTTGGTTGCAAAGTCTGACTAACTATAAAATACACTAGATACATTGCAATAGTACCATCATAGCAGACAGTTTCTATCTATTTATCCCTAACTGTCATTTATATTTCTGACATTTAGATACTGTCCTGGTTGGGTTTTTAAATCTTATACTTTCTCATATGATCTTTTTGGGTCTTGATGTATATATATCTAGACCAAATATGACTCTATATG